GCCCGGATTAATATTTAGTTAGAGGAATGTCATATTTTACATGTAAGAATAGATAGATTATTTAYTTAATAGCCTAGTGCACATTTTGGATTCAGTCAAAATCCCTTGACTCTTGCTGGTAGTTAACAATAATACAGGCAATTAAAACTGAACAGCACAGAGAAAAAAGTGGACTGTACATTAAAACACAGAGTAAAAATCAGCAACTGAGCTGATTCTGAGCTATGATTTCATGCTGATTCTCAGCTGAGACTGAGCTATGATTTCATGCTTCCAATCAGCCATTAATACTTCTTCATACCTGACAAGGGAACATTTCCCCTTGACATATATTTATCTAGCTAGGCACCAGGAAGTATTTTGGACATCACACCTAAAACCTCTATTTATTTATTTATTTTTAAAACTTTCCCTTTGATCAAGGCTAGCTTGAAAATTTCAGAGCATATTTCTTCTAAGTATTACTTTTCACTTATACCCCAGTAAACAATTATCTATTGTTTAGCATTAGAACTTATCTTTTAGCAGAGAAGAATTTGGAAGAGCATTTCAAGTACAGTGCATATTAAAAATATGATGCTTTGACAAAGCTTTTTGCCACTTAAACTACTGGATTACCTTATTGCAGAGGAGACTCAAAGCTACTTAGCCATGTAAGCAAAATTAAGTGTTACTAAAGGAGAGCTTTCTTCCCTTACTTACCTTCACGCCTCCTAGCCCTCGCATAACTTTCAATAACCCCTACTTCTCTGATCTTTCTAAATACTTTTCTGTTTCAAAACTTAATGTTTGAAAATATTTTAAAATAAAGTTTCAAAATATTTTATGATTGGCTGCTGAAGCACATCCGGGGACATGGATCCTAAATTCCTTTTAGGGTAACATCAGATTTCTTTAATCATGTTATTAAGATGAATATTACTGCAGCATAGTTAGATGACTAGGAAAAGTCAGCTCCAGGATAATGTGTGGGTTTAACATTTTAGTTTCTAATCCTCTTAGATCTTGTCTCTCACCTGCTCAGATATGACTTGTGCTCTCCTGTCACCTGAACAGTTCTACCCCACACCATGACATTCTCCAGTATATTCACATACAGCTTAAGGAGAGATAGAAAAAGATCTCATCAATTGTGAAGCAGGAATTAATTGTGCATCCACCTGGGAAGTCCTGCAAATTTTCCATGTTCAGCACTGAACATAATACTTCACTGAGGGAGAAAAAGGACACTGAGGAATAAGAAATCTTTCTTTTTGTGTAGGAATGAAAGAGACATAATTAACAATAATGCCTATACAGTGATTTGAGTATTTAAAATATTATATCCTTTATGTATTTATAAGACTGATTTAAAAAAAAAAAGATTATATGTATAAGGTCAAATATTGGGAATGTGGTTTGAAGTCAAATCTTAGAACACCAAAGTCTGAATGTCTTTAAAAACATGGTACGAGTCTTATCAACTTACCAGCCACATTTCATCTCAGATTCCTACAAGTTTCCTCACCAGAAGGCCATCAAAAGTACTTAAATAGTTRAATGTTCTCATATTTAATAATGATTAGGGATCACTAATTATTATTGCTGCACTTTCCACTCTTATCACACAAACACATTCAAGAGTTTAGCATTCACAGTTCATAGTCATCATATACCTATTTTTCTTAGAAGGCTTATTTCAAGTATATCTGCATTCAACACCACCTTCTAAGCTTTAGTATCAGTAGAACTCATGGTTCCTTGTCTGGTCTGTTTAATGCCTACAGCTCACTTTACTCCCCTAAGTCACACAAATGTTAGACATTTTTCTTCTCTACTGTAAGACTGCACTGCCTATCACAGAGTCACATCAAGTATAAACGGTAAATGGCCTTTCAAAGGTCTTAAATTTSAATTTTATCAAGGAACTTCCTAACAGAAGTAAGGATGGTGGTCTCACAGCTGCCAGTTCTCATACTATGGCTAAAATTGTGATGATTCTGGCTACTGGTGATGTTAATTTTTAATTGCGGCAAAAATGACTGAAAGATGAAGGAAACAGAATGAAACCATAATTATGTCAATTATTTTATATAGGTATAGCACTGTGAAGAAGGAAATCCAATAACAGAGGTACATTACGCTGTTTTTTTTTCTTTTTCTCTCTCCTGTTATCTTTAGTATTATAAGCAGCATTTCCAGTACAAAATTATTCTTTGAAGTGTAAATGCAGAAGGATCAGCTGTTTTGTATATTAGGTTTTGTCCCTTGTGGGAGAAAAAAACAACAAGAACTTTAGCTGTAGTCAAACTGCAATCTAACTAGAAAACTGCAATCTAACTAGAGAGACTTCAAGATCACAGTTATTCCCATTGAAATCYTTTTGTCTATTTCAATTTGAAGTGTTTTCCTCATAAGCAGAAAAGAGACAGTGATGTGAGCAGCTGGGATTGAGCTTATGCCTTTAAGGCTATGCCATTGCCATGGACATTACAGAATATGGCAACCATCTTACAAATTTGAAACACTGATTTCCCTCAGTTTCTCATTCAGCATCTGTAACAACATCATTACAAACTTATTCTCTGATGGGTTTTCTCTTGATGAAGATATCCTCCCATCCTGTTATGCTTCTTCACACTTAAACCAAATAGAGATCACATCAATTCAAGTTACTTTAAAACCCAAAGAAAGTAGTAACTTTCAGACAGAGCTTTAAAAATAGAATTTCATGACCTTCTATTAAATCTATTTCTTTTACAGATGTCTCAGATACTTTTCTGCAGATATCTCTGACCATCTGGGCTAAATGCCAGTCATCCTGAGTCTTCCTTGAGGATTAAAGTTCTTTCTAACTTGGAACTAATGCAGCTTTTTTTCAGCTGCACACAGCTTGGTCATCATTTAAGGGTAACAGTTACAAATACCCACCTCAAYGTATGGGAATATACATTTAGTCAAGGGTTATATAAACAACAAAATTTTGCAATTTGTGTGATTCTCTCTCAGCCTCAATTGCCTTTTCCATTTTATAATATCTTTAACTTATGATGACATGAAGATAGGAAATTCCAAACAGTAATGAAACTGTGACTAGGCTGCATTGCTTTACTGTTCATGTAGCCTCAACTGAATTCTTGATAAGATCGCAACTGCACAGTCAGGCTTAGCCTCTGCTGTCACGTCAAACACAGCTGYGGCAAATCAAAATCAAAATATAATCTTATTCTTTTTGCAAGAGCAATGTATGGGAAAAGGAGATGATTCAAGTTAAAATTTATCAGCAAGAATGGCAGGAAGAAAGTCAAATAGTCAAAATCAAAAAATCAAATTAGCTAAACATGCTCTAAACATGCTCTATGTAGCAAGTGACTGAGCCATTATGGAATCCCCTTAAAAAAAAAAAAAAAAAAAAAAAGAGAGAGAGAGAAAAAAAGATCCCACACAACCCTTTCCTCCCGGCAGTCATGTTTTAAAGGGGAAAAAAAAAAATCTAAATTTACATGCAGGGAAAAAACCCATAACTTGCTCTTCCCTAAATGTTTAATGTATTAAAGGATATAAAACATTCTAATGAAAAAATATTGCAAAGAATATTTATTATAATACATTCGTGCACCATTTATTCCTACATAGGCAGGGAGCAATTTTTGGTGTTACCTGTTTGCTTTAGCAGAAATGTTACTTTTTCTTTCAGTAACAACTGCAATCACTCCATAAAAGTGCTTTTTCCCATACACTTGAAAGATTATAGTCCTTAAATGAGCACTCTTTCATAACCCAGCAAAAACAGATATCATTATAAAGAAATTAATTTTCATCTAATGTTACAGCTAGGGTTTTTGTTAGTAGTCTATAAAGGATGTCTATAATCTATGTTAATAAGATGTGTATGTCTGAGTGTGTATATAAAAGGTTTATRTAATAGTATTTATGTATACATAACACACATATATGCACAGARAAAAACAGCAATACTTCTTAGTCAGCGCAATATTTTCAATCACTGGACATTAAGCCTGAAAAAATCCCTTCTAAAAGTATGAAAACACAGAGCATAGTTTAAAATATGTGAAAACATCTGTACATGGGCACCACATCAAGAAGACATTAAAAAAAAAACAGAGAAATTAAGACTCCATTTACTCCGAGTCCTGTATTTCTCTAATCTCTCAAAGTCCTGAGGACATGAGGACATATCTGAGGAAAAAAAAATAGAATTACRAAGTTAATAAACTGCTCTAGTAAGGAATAGTTAGCTATTCAGTACTGTTGCTAGAAAGCTTATTTCAAAGCTGAATCAATATCAAAGACCTATACTTAGATCTCCTAAACCTGCTCAATCTCAACAAAATATTTCAAGCAAACAAAAAGATTTCTAATAATTGATGTACATTCAGAACCTTTAAAATTAACTCTGCCTAGAGGGTCTTATCAGACCAGGACTTTCACAAGTGTACCACAGCAACTCCAGCTTTTGGAGTTGATTCCAAAAAATCAAGAATAAACTTCCTGTTTATTCTTCTGGACTTTCTCTACTTCCAGTTACTGCTTACCACTAACTTCCAGCATCCATCATCCCTAAAATCACCCTCCTGCATAAACTTCTTTGGAACCCACAGTCAAAAGTAACTACAGAGCCTACATCCATGTTAAGTCTGAATTTAGCTTGGTAGCTTCTTTTAAACAACAAACTTGGCTTGTCTTGGTCCTACCCCAAAAGGAGAACTGCAAACAGAAGCAAAGAGAACTGATGCAGAAAGGACCTAACTCTGAAAGTGAGAAAATTTATTTTGGAGGTCTATGGATATTTTTACTCAGTAGGATAGTTCACGGCCCTTTAATGCTGTGCCCTGTGCTCTAAGTTTTTTAAGAGAAGAACATTCCTTTGAATAAAGTTGAAGAATCAGCATGGTGCCCTTTTAGACATTTTGCTATCAAATGTTATGGAGGAACTAAAAAAAAAAAAAAAAAAAGATAAAGACAAAGAAGTTACCTTTGGCCAATCAAAATCTAGAGCCACATAAGTAGACATTAGGCATAAGCATAGCCCTTTAAATAACTCCAACTTCCACTGAGACAGCAGCTAAAGAATCCAGCTGTAGCAGAAGGCATATATTGAGAAGATGGGTTTAGGCCAGTCCTCCAAATGCTTAGGATCTCACAGTGCTGGGACGAGGCACACAAAGCCTCTGCATCCAGCTGTGCATGCATCACAGCTGTTTCCTTTTCTCTTCTGTGCTGGGATTCAGAGCAGAAGCTACTGCAAGTATTCGTAAGAGAAACAGGAAATAGATCATGTAAGTCAATTATGGTTTACAGCATTAAAACCATGCAATGTAGTCAGCACAGACAAATAAGAGTGTGTAAAGGCATATCTGCATTCCTTGGTCTCTCTTAGTATTTTTGATATAAAGAGCAAGAACAAACTGAAGGTTCAACAGACAAGTTTCAACTCGAAAATGTTCTAAGGCTGCTATTTTTAAAGCTTTAGAACTGGTTCAGCCAAAGCAGTAAAACAAAACTATTATTTTATTTGAAAATACATATAATGATGATATTTTGTGGGAATTACTTTTTAAAAAACATTTTCAATTTATTACATTACGCAAGTGGACTTCATAAAATGTAAAYGCATTTGAAATCATTTAATTGAAAACTTTAAAATATAAATATGCCAGGACTATATATCACTGGAATTTACCAAATTAACTGTTTTGAGTATTTTTCATCAAATTCCATTTTAAAACCAATTTTGGTTTCTCAAATCTTTAATGTGACCAGGTCTGCTCCAAAGAACACTMAGATCAGTTACTCTAATTCAATCTATTTCAGTAAGGCTTTTAAAACATCTCATATACTGTACAATTATTAGAATAGTTCAGTTGTTCATATAAAAACACTGGAAATTTCTTGCTTTGAAACGGGAGGAAGGAATTATTTTCCAGGCAGCTGAAAGGAGAGCTTTATTTCAGTCTTCCCTGGCTGAACAGAAGTCCTTACTTTGTTCCCTATACATTGTACACTTTGTAAGTAGAGTCTTTGAAGGTATTATTATAAATTCCTTGGCTCATTCTGATATTTATTTAATCATAACTGAGCTTTTAGCATTGCATTTGTATGCTATGGAGGCAACTCCACATTTTTATACCAACGACTGGCACTTATTCAGCAGTTTCATGGTCTTCTAATTCCCTGCCCTCCTACTTCTAGAATAAATTTGACTCACACTGATGCCCTGTGAAGAAAGATATCAATACATGAACAGAAAGAAGCTAAATTACCTGAACTGATAGCTTCTCTTATGGGAATGATATTCACCTGCCTGAAAACGCTATCAAAGTATATATAGTCTGCAAATCTGCAAAAACTAAGTTAATTCTACCTTTTTTAATTGAAATGAAACAAGTAGTAAGAAGAAGCATCTTGTTCCTAAGAATCTGACATAGATTATTACACGCATAGGCAAATAAGTAGATTTGCTATAGATAATTTAGTATTTATTATACCGCAAAAGCGTCTCTGAACTTTTGTCAAATGCCACTGGAAACAGAGCAGATATATGGTATTTGCCAAGGTCTCAGCATACTAGGGGTCTATATACCTGCAAGACAGAGATCTTGATCTTAAATTCACTCACAGGATGCCTGCTAAGATGGAAGCGTCACATCTACACTGGCAACGTCAGGGACTGGTAAGCCCGGCCCTACTTAGAGTGAGGTAGCAAGTCTGAGTAGCAAGACAGGAACTCACAGCTGAAGGTTAAACTACCCTCCCACTATTACAGACAATAACGTCTTMGCTCCTTTCAAGAAAAAATTACACAGGTCAGCTGGAGATTAATGACACTAACCTTTTGTACTTTCCTCTGACATGAAGGCCTTCTGACAACAGATCTCTTTCAGGAAGCAATGCCTAGTTGTGGATAAGTAGGACAGTTTCCTAAACGTCTGCCAGCTGTAACTACCCAGCCAGGTGCATCACATGCACAGTGAAACTGCAGGCGGGGTGGGGAGGTATCAGGAGAGGCAGGGAGGGCAGGGAATAACAAGTCTCTGCAAGCAACCACACGTAGGCCCTCATTATCTTGCAGTTGAGCACTGGCAAGTTCTTGCTAGATAGGTCAGATCACATTCAGTACTGTACTGATGCAAGAGAGTTTCAGGCTCAGATATACAGGTAAATGTCACCTTGTGAACTACAGTACTGCTCTCTCTTCCCCTTCTCCATAGATGTATGTTGCCTTAGGTGTTTTTTTCAGGAGTGAYGCCGTTTCATAAGTGTACTCTAAGGAAGCATATGCTGTTGAGTTTGTATTCAGAGAAAGTGGTTTATAAGGACTACATTAAATCACCTCCACATAGGTAATCCTTTAAATCTTGGTGACAGGTATGTAAATCACACTTTTTTCCAATTCTCTAACAGAGAGGAGCAAGAAAGCTTCCAACAAGTTAATTCCTTACTTATCCCCACAGCAAGAGCACTGTCTTCAGGCAAGTAGTTAATATTCATTTAAACATCCTACTCCTATAATATCCACAGGAATGTCTGGTCTCCCCAAGTGAAAAGAAAGCAGAATGCCTGGTCTAATGGACTGTTTCATTTTTCTTCTCTCCAATTTGCTCCCAGAAGCTGTTTGCTTTAACACTCCCCCTGGATGATGCACTACTGCATTCCAAGTTAATGTTCTCAGATCAACAGTGAATCCTTTGACATTTCTTCATCCATAAGCAGTAGAGCATATCACATCAGAGAGGATATTGTACAACAAACTAGCAAACTAGGTCATAAAATAACCTTCTAAATATATTCCCTGTTTTTACTGATGGCTATGCTGATCCCACCTTTCAAGGGTATTGTCATTGCAGAATAGATTTATTTGGAGGTCTTTGAAGGAAATGACACAGAAGTCCCCACAGACCACAGAGGCCTTAAAATCATCAAAGTGATCTGAATTATATGAAGGTCAAACTTACTTCTCTGCAACTACCAGGAGAGAGCAGGAGCGAGACCTTATGGAGTCTCAAACACTCTATCCCACCTGCACTGATCTTTCATGCATMTAAGAATCTGAATCCCTCTTTCAACTGTATCTAAAAAAAAAAAATTGGTATTATCTCATAAAGAAAAAAGTAGTTACACTTATTTATATTCTCTAATGATGTAGTCCAATGTCTGCCTAAAAAGTTCATTTTTCTGTTGCCTAGCTGAGAAACAGTCTAAATTACCTATAATTCTTTGTTATTTTCCTACAAAGACATACTGTTTATGGATTTTTTTTTTCTTCCTTGTTCAACAGAGTTCTTGCTAATAGCAAAGAAGCTGTTCCCTCTGGTGAGAGCTTCAGAGAAATACTGACAGTAGCAGAGACAAGGTCATAAGTTCATGCATTGATTTTATTTTTAAGGAGTGTTTCTCATAGAGTAGTCTAAAAATTAATATATCTCACATATAATAGCTGAGTGAAATAAAGTATATTTGCTGAATAATACCAATTTCTCTTCATTTCTGTTTTACACATAGATGTAAGGCTCTCTGACATGGTTTACTGAACACAAAACCATCGCTTCGAGCTGAATTTTCCTAATACATTTTAGAAAAATGTCATTTAATGTTGAACGTCGAAGTTGCCTTATTTAAAAAAAAAAAAAAAAAAGGCTATTGCTATTGTCATGAGAGCATAGAGGGTCTTTCGAAAGGAAGGCTGACAAAGGCACTGTGTTATAATCTTTATTTTTACCATTTTAGTGAAGGTCTTGAAATTCTTAAACTTCCCTCTCCAGTTCCTCCTCCCAGAATTACTCCTTCCTGTGAGTTTCAGAATCCTACTGTGTTTTATCTTCTGATTTATCCAATTATCCACAAAAATCTGTGTCACAGCATTTTGCTTCAAAAAGATACGCATATTTTCAGAGTTTAATTAGTAACAGAATCAGGATAACAAGTGAACAGATCTCAGCAAGATAGATATTGTACTAGAACTGCCTTTCAGAAATCWGATCTAATGCTTTCAAAGTTATCTTTTTCTTTACTTTTTTGAGAAGTAAAAATCATTATACCCTGAGGACAWGAAAACTCTGACTGTAGAGTTTCACTAGTTCAGCCTTGCTCAAAGTTATTCTTTAAGAGAGCTCAGATCTTACCTAGACTGATCAGATCATTTCCTAGCATCACCAAACAGGTATTTTAAGTGTTAACCAGGGATTTTTTTTTTTAATTTAACAATAAATTCAAAAATCTCCAATGTGAAATCATAACAAAAGGAATAATTATTGTTTTGTTCATATTGTTTTTCTCTTCTCTCCCTAGAGAGATATACTTCTTGGCAGGAGTTCTACGTGCTTTAACATTCCCTTCCAAGTGCAATAATGGCTTCATTACTGTGAGCTGTGGCTATTAGAGGAAACTGAAAGGTCTTGCACTAGCCAGGTTTTTGGCCTAGCCACTCAGCTGCTTAGAGCCCTCTCAATAATGTGATGAACACAGGCAACTAGCATCAGATACTTTGTCTCCAAAAACTCCCTTGGGCAGCTGGGAATACAAAGGATATTTCAAAATCACTTATCCCCAGCTAGTTTTCTTCCGCCCAGAGTTACTTCATACCTCTCCACATGTACCCCAACCCAGTTCGCATTAAATGTAATTGGTGCCCCATAACTAAATATTGAAACAATCTGCTTTCTGCTGCCAGCGACCCCCAAACCTAATGAAGCTTCTAAAAACAGATGTGCACTCTTGAAGAGCTTTGAAGCAAAAACGGCTGCCTAAATTCCTCGCAAGGGGAAGTCACTGAGAACACATCTGCTAGGTCATCCTAGAGGAAAGTATTTCCATGTTTCCCTTGAAAATGCAGAAGGTAAGCAGAAGCCTATCCAAAAACTGTTACCTGCCCCTTTCTTGTCAAGTGGATCTTGAATTGTGGGTCAGAATTCGTCAAAGGAATTGTGGGGCCATCAGTGGAGAGTGAAATAAGGAGGAACCTGTGGCATGGTATCTGAAGCAAATTCTTCAAGATGCAGGATCTAGAGAAGTAATCTACCAGCAACTTAAAACTGCCAAGTGAAGGCACTATCAGGTAAAAGGCAAACCCCCAACCCCAGGTCTTACTATGGCCCATAATTCAAGTTATCCTGGAGGCCCCACAGGGAGTACTGCAGGATTGCTTTCTTACCAGATGGCTATGGTTTCTAATAAAGAAGTTAATAAGCTTTTAGATATTGGTAGTCTTAATCATATGAAAGGGATATTGGCTCTGTGACATTTTCTTATTACAAAAAAATCTCAGTAGGAATGACCTACAGAGATTTATATCGGAACTGGCAGTGTTAGACTTTCACAAAACACCAGGCTTTATTCTGTTACTCTCTTTATTTACAAATTAAGCAGTCAGTAATAGGGGTTGCTACATGTAATCTGACAAATCTACTCCCATTATRCAAACCTGGTGGCAGCTGATTCTAAGAAAACTGCATGTCCAGGACACGGCTAGAAACCTACAACCAGGTTTATGTCATTTGTGGAAAGTCTCTTCTCCTTAGGATGGTCTCAACTTTTATTTCAATACTCTCTCATTTAAAATTCTAAGTGAACTAGTCATTGTCACCTTTCTGACATAAATGGTCCATGGAGCCAGTAAAACATTACATGGTGACCTACATAGCAAACCTACAGAGCCAGCAGAAGGGCACAGCTGAATGCTTTGAGATGCCTCTGTCAGTTTCTGTAAAGGACTTCTTGGTATTATTACTTCACATGGAATTAGTATTTTGTAGAGGCAAAGGTGCACACATCATGCAGATTTGTGAACCACCTTTATGGTAATATATTATTTAGCTTTGCTTACCATAGCTGAAAATGCTTAGTTGGTGACATGATGGCACCTACACAGGGGGAAAGAAAAAAAAAAAAAAAACAAAAAAAAAACCACACCCACAGAGTAAGACCTCCTTCAGACATCCCTTTTCAGAATCAGGTTCACTTGATCATTGGAAAGAGCAAGCCTTTTTTGACAGTTACAAAAAAGCTAAAACAAATCTTCAGTGAACCTTTTCTTACCACTTTTTTGACAAGGACACAACTTGAAAAGAATGCCAGTACAAGCTATTCTCTTCCAATGAAATTGTGTGTGTGACACTCCTTTTCCGGTTGTCAGCTTTTCATGTGTCAGAGGCAGTACTATATATAGGAAAAAAAGAGCTGCACATTTGCAGAGAATGTGGGCAGCCTTCTTCGCTTCAGTGCTCCTAAAGATGGATAACCCTTTTCAGAAGCTTCATCAGATTTGGGGAAAAWCCCAAAATACATAGCAGGCCTTTAACAAGACTTTGGTACTGAAATATTCCTTTTTGCTGAACTTCCAATGTACGAAAGTCTGGCCCGAAACTGAAAAAAAAAAACCTGAAAACACACACTGCACTGAATGCTGCAACCCATACTAGACTGGAAAAGGAAAATGTTTTCGTTCCTTTTCTTCTATGAACTGTCAAACTTCTCTATTAAACCTGCTTAGTCAATTCTCRTTTTACTCTGAGGAGCTGTCAACAGAACTTTTTGTACACTGGTCTGTCATATATACTCATGGAAATCTTTGATGAAATCAAGCAGTGAGTTTACTTTCATGTACTACCCTAGGTAAATGCAGATAGATTTTTTTTTATCACCTGCATGGAATCCTTTCTAAAATCAGTAGGATGGCGGAGAAACACACAGAGGTAGTTACAGACATTCAACAGCAAAATGGACTCCCACAGTTACATAGCAAAGAAAAGATGAAAATACATTTTTTCCCATGAAAATTCTTCCACCTTGAATCTTTATAATAATCAGTAACGCAAAATACATATTTTAATGATATTTTTCATTTCAATTCATAATCAGAAATTATATCTGCAATGATGTGATCATTAAAATTTTGACCTTGTC